CCCGGTCCCGTATCCCGTTTCGCCTCCCAGAGTCCCCGACCCACCTGCCCGCTCGGCCTTGGCGCTGCCGGTGCCGTCCCGGGGCGGCGGGAACACCACGTCCCGCTCCCAGCATCCGGAAAGCGAACCAGCCGCTCCCCCGGAGGCGGATCGGAGCGCAGAGGCTGTGCGACAAGTAGAAGTGGTTGTCTGGCTTTTTTTTTTTTCCCCACTAGAGGTCTATATCCTGCCTACAGCCCTCCCACCCACAACAGCATTTACAAATCTCAGGCAGCTTTCGGAAAGATGATTTCACTTTACAAGATGTGGTCATTCAAAGCCATCTCAAGAACTGGTGCTGACTGTACACTTCCATGCCAGAGATTGCCCTCCACCTGGTCTCCGACTCAACCAATAACCCCGAGAATGGATGATCAAGAGCAATACATGTATGCATGCGTTTCCACAACGTTTGGTCCTGATTTTGCAAGGAAACTCCAGGTTTATCACCATTTCAGTTTATACAAGAGTCACACTGCTGATGCAGTGTTCCTCTAAGTCTCACCAAAAAGAATCTATACCGAATTTGGAATAAAAAATATGTAACCATAATACTCTTTATGATAGAAATTTTCAAGCAAATGGAGTTTTACTATTCAAACTCATGTATATAAAAACTTCATTAGCAAGCACTTTCTACAGAATCTTTCACAATGCTTTACAAGCCACCTCTTCAGTGAAGTTACTTCTAGTTTGCACAGCCATGCTCTCTTGGGACCAAGGCGTTACAAGCAATTAGAACAGCCAGCTACCAGTATTTTAAGTGTAACCATGTTCTGGATTGCTGCAGGTTTGTTGTCCTGGCAAACGATGTATTTCCTTTATAAACTTACAGTGATAAGTATGTTCCATGATTGGGATGGGTGATGGAGAATACAGAGAGAAAAAGGAGAAAGAAAACTTACTGTTTAATATTCCACACCAGCGCAGATATAGACAATGCCTCCCTACACCGGAAATAATTCCTGAAATTCTGTGTAGTAATTTTAAAATATCTCTCTTACCAAGTCACTTCTCTTCCTTCCAACATAAAGCACCAGCCTTAAACTAAATCACACATCCCTCACTCTACATTAGCCTCCACACATTCAAGAATACAGTGGAGTATAGCAAGGCTCAGTCTAACAATTCAAAACAGACTAACTCCTTTTCAGCACGCTGGTTTACCCTTTAGAAATCAAAAGCTACTCAACTGCCATTAGTTATCAGGATTTTACTGTTTTCAGGGGGGAGTGGGGGGGTGGGTGTGGCTTGGTTTTAATTTGTAAGCTCCAAAAAACTCTCAGTTATTGAACCTAGTTCCTGCTACTAAGGGCAACTGTGCCATTTTCATCTTTTCACTCACTGCTGAATTTTCACTTGTGTCAGTTCTTCTGCGTGCCTCTCCCAGAGTGCTTCAGAGGCTGTTCACAACCTGGCTATTGTTAACCTTTTAGTCTCCAACCATATCAAATTACAATAAAATTATTTTTAATTCATCATACAAGAATTATGAACATTTTTGAAACCCTCCCAGGAAGAGATCCAGCAGAGCTACTTTTTCACCAAATGTCAATTGTTGTCCTTCATCCATTGCTCAATCCATTGCATAATCTGGTCCAAATTTCTCTCTAGGTCCTCTGGAGTGTTGCTGAGTAACTGGTGTACAATTTCCTCTCTATATGACAACATAGCTTCCTCATAAAGTGTCTGAAAAATTTCACACTGAATGTTGTCTTGCAGCTTTTTCCCTTTGTAGCCCCTATAAAACAGGAACAATACTGAGAGACAGTTTTAGATATGCCGAGAACTATAAAGTATTCTATAGAGAAACAGTAATTTATACTCCAGAAAAATCTCCAGTGAAGTCACACAACAGTACTTTCTCCTTATTTACTCCCATGACATACCTGTTTTCAAGTCTGTCATATAGAAATGAATTTTCTGTACGAAGTACAAATACTATATGAAACCACCGTTCAGGGAAAAAATCACAGCCATGATAGTCAACAATAACTCCACCCTCACTCATTTTATCTTCCAGTTCATCAATTACCTACAGA